ATGTAATTAAAAAAGCCTGTCCCTAGTTCGCTCTGAAGCTTGGCACATGGCTCACCATAGATAGAGTGAGACAACCATATATACAAAATGCTAGGAATTAGCTAGACTGTATTAAGCTATGGAAACAAAAACAAGTAACAGATGCTGGAAGTATGCTGATGAGTGCACTTTTACAGCCCTGAGCCCTCTGAGTTCAGAGCTGACTGCTTTGATGCCTGCATGGCACGTGGTCGTGAGTTGAGACGAGAGGACACAGACAGGAGGAGGGAGGAGGAAGAAATCTGAGGGCAGTTGTATGAATGATTGTGGACAGAGAGGTCAAATAAACTGTAAAAAGCTGTGTTTGTGTTTGTGTGTGTGTGTGTGTGTGTGTGTGTGATGGAGGGGATCTGGATTAGTGCGTCTTGTTATTATTATATTATTGTTATTTACGGCTCTTCAGGTTGTTTGCCCTGATTGCCGGCGGTCCGACGCCTACATGTGTCTTTTTTGCTGGTGCACCTTCCCGTTCCTATGGCAACCAGCAGCAAAATAGCGATCAAATAGCTTCAGCAGCCTTTTCAAGTGGTTTTTGGTGAAAGGCGCTCAGTGTATTGCATATGACTTCATCACTCTTATGTTGCCCAGAGTGAAAGCATGCAGCCAGTGGACTTCACTCAGTCCTGAGACATTGATGATTTTCAGTTTATTGTTTGTGTCAAGGAAGCTTCGATGGAATATTGTAAATATGGTGCAATCATCAGTTTCTTGGCAAGTAATAATCAATAAACAAAAGCCTACATGTACAGTTAGCTGCGAATTATTTCCCAAATGCTCTCCGAGTAAATGATTACAGCCTTTTGATGGATAGCTGTAAGCATGGGGTTTGTTGACTGGATGTGTATCAGATCATGCAAACTGTGCATGCTTACTTTGCAAGTTCATACTGGAATATTAATAAAGGCGGATCGTTCTCATATTTATAATAAATCTCCGCTCATTGATCAGTCACTGATCGATCAGAGGAGCTTGGACCTTGATTTATTCATGGCGTGTACAGAGCGCACTGCCTGGTTTTATCTGCTTTTCTGTTGGTTTTCCCTCATGCGACACTCCCCATCTTTATTCAATCTGACTGAAGACCTTCACAGCGGGGCAGAGCCGTGTCAGGAAACAAAGCAAGATCATTTATTCGATTGCAATTGGAATTAGATGAGGTTGCTAGAATCACGGGGGAGGCGAAGGGGCATGCAGGGGAACAGGAGTGTGAAAGGGATGAAAGTGTGGCAGTCCCCACCTCCCAGTGTTGAGTGTGAATGGGGCTGCCCACCCCTCTCTGCAGGGGGTTCCCTCCCTCTCCTGCTGCCAGTGCTCTCATTATACACTCCAGACAACAGCATCATATGTAAGGAATATATGCAAACATACATTATTCAGAGGGCACTGAAGGGGTTGATGCCTTATGAAACTGTGTCAGACCGTCATCATGTGAAAGCTGAGGCATAAAAAAGGTCATGGATTTACATTTTTGTAAACGATGACATTAGGCTGAAAAATGTCTAAATGAAAGTCTGAAAGCTTGAATATCCAAGATACAAATATTATTGGTTGGTGTTCTTTTTTTTTTACCATAAAACAAGACAACATCTTTACATTTCTTGTCAAAAAGTTCCCAAATTGGGATCAATAAAGTACTTATCTATCTATTTTTGTCTAATACTAAAAAATAAATTACAATATTATGAATCAGCCAATTCTTATAGCTCAGAAACTGGATCCCTTTGGAGTCTGCCATGATGCTTGGAATTGACAATTTACTGATTATTAGAATAGTTGCACATTTATTTTCTTTTGAAACAGATTCGTGTTTTTCATTTATATCAGTTGACGTATATTTTCTAGACATACACTGAAACGTTGTTAGTAAAACATCTGGTCCACTTTAACAACCAGTTTGGAGTTGGATGTTTTAGATTGACTCTGCCATATGATAACATGGCATGTGATCGACTGACGCTCAAACATCAGCTCCAGTCCCTGGCCAACCTTAAAGGATAAGCTGTTCAAAATAACATATGGATAAATAAATATTATAAAACATGCATTAATCCCAGAACTGAAGACTTCAAATGAACCGTCTGTGATGTGAACACACTGTATGAATAATACTTCAGTAGGCATACTGCGAGTACTGACACAGCAATTACTCTGAAATATTCATGCATCACATTTCTGACAGTAATCCCTTCTTAATCACAACAGGACATAACACAGACACAGTCACTGACTCCCTTTTCATCCCAATCACTGTTAGCCTCGCTTCTACCGTCATGAGAAAACATGTTCACGTCTTTACTTAAAGCATTTGAGTTCATTTAAGTGTACAGTCATTTATGCTGATCTCATAGTCCTACAGTGCTGAAAACATGCTGTATGTACATAACACACACACACAGAGTAAGCCATCTGTTCTCTGGCTGTGTGACAGTTATTCTGTCTGACAGGATTCACAGACTCCACGCCTGAATATGAAGCCAATATACGGCCGGGGCTCAAGACTTCACCAGTCACACAAATGGACTTTCCACCAGGCACGTGTGGACGTCTGCTCGGAGTTAAGCCCCGCTCTCTGCACTCCACTGCTCCACGTCAAGGTTCGGTGGAGTTTAGATGTACAGAGGTCGTTTGTTTTCATCCTGGTGTTCATGATTCCCCTGTCAAACTGGTTCTGCGGTGTGTTTTGAGACCTTTACTGCAATATCAGGCAGTCAGTGGACCCAGTGGACAAGTTGTTGAAGCTTTTAAACATCCAACACCTTCACATTAATGTTTTGCTGACATAACACAGTGGTTGAAAGGACTCTTCTATATATTGTTTTTAGATGCAGGAACAGCAATGCCTTTTGATCCTCACACCAAACATTTTAAGCTCAGTCTGTGTCACAGAGGGGATGATTCATCACTGTGGCAGTTTTGTCGTGTGTGGTTAACCAGCTGGTGTTTGTCCCCTCACTTCTGATGTTTTTAAGATTCTGACCACTTAGTCAAACATGTTGTAAGTCAGTTATCAGCATCTTGCAAAACCTGTTATTGCCAAAATATGCGTCAAAATTACCCCGACCTATCGTTTTCTATGAAATCCCACATTTTCTTTTATATTAATGCATAATTTCTTAAGTGGTGGGCCACGCTGCCTGTCTGCTTTGGTTTGAAACAATAAAGATCCCCCCCATTGAGGGATGACCCGGTTTCTAAAGTGAATATTATTTTCTTCTTAATCCTATTCAGTGTATTGCCATTTGAAGTTCTTGCACATAGCGTGACACAGCCGGTTTCTTAGGATACATCTTCGTTTTTTGACAAGTTTCTGATGGAACACACAAGTATAATACCCAGCCAAAAAAGGAGGAGTCCTTTCAAATGTCGTACCAGATAGACTTATTTTAACAGGCTGATGTTTTGGAAACAGTGTGCCTTCCTAAAGTGAAGCTTGACAACATTATACTTACATCCTCAGGGGTCCCTGGACCTTCAAAATCCTCTGAATACATACATATCTACTAAAACCCTATTGCTGATCAATCAGTTATCAATACCTATCAAATGCACCTACCAATTGTGCATATGTACGTTGATTCAGTTTTCATGAGGAGTTAATAATAGTTTGCTCCAAATGAGTGTTTGCCTTCCCATGGGATTTGACTTCCCTAATGTGATATGTGTCCTTGAGTAAGTGTGATAATGGATTCCCACAGTAGTTTACCTTTACACATAAGCCCTAGTATACTCACTTTGAGGCTGAAGTCTGTGGGGCCAGACCTGCTGTGGTTGGGAAGTTTTCACTTACAGTTTCATTTCATTTTCAGGGCAGTGGAGTGAAGCCTGAGCCTTAAGTCCATGCTGACGCCGCTGACTTAAGGACTGATGCTTTGCTATATCGTAAAATAGACTCACGATCCTCACTGCCCCCATCCCCCCTGCCCCCCCATCAGCTAAACACAGTGTTATTATTCTTGCCGTGGCAGGGTAAGTGGACCCTGATTGATCAGTATTGATTGGAACTGTATTTGTTAGACAGTAATGGGCCTCCCCCTCAGGACATTATGTCTGCTGATTCCCGACCTCCCCCCATCTCTGGCCCCACTAAACCCCTCTTTTTATGTCCTACTTGTATTTGAAGAGCCCTCCCCCCCTTCGTTGGTAGACCCCTCGATCTCTAATGAGAGTGCACTGCCTCCTCGTTCACCTTACCTACAACCTTCCTCTGTATTTCCATCCAAGAAGAGCTGGAAGAAGGAGGCAGTTGTGACCCATCATGTGTGTGATTCAGGGTTCTTTATTTGTCCAGAGGAAGCTGTTTGGATTCATTGTTCTGTGATATCATATTTGAGCTAACATCCGTTTGTTGATTGCAGAGACCAAATGCTGCAAAACCTGTGTGTGTGTGTGTGTGTGTGTGTGTGTGTGTGTGTGTGTGTGTGTGTGTGTGTGTGTGTGTGTGTGTGTGTGTGTGTGTGTGTGTGTGTGTGTGTGTGTGTGTGTGTGTGTGTGTGTGTGTGTGTGTGTGTGTGTGTGTGTGTGTGTGTGTGTGTGTGTGTGTGTGTGTGTGTGTGTGTGTGTGTGTGTGTGTGTGTGTGTGTGTGTGTGTGTGTGTGTGTGTGTGTGAACATGTTTACAGTACAGATGCTGCACAGGGAAACCGCCTCAGGCATCTCTGTTCAGACTCTTGACAAACAATAGACATGTGTGTGTGGATGATCTGACGAACGTGGAACTGATTACAGCTGCTCTGTACAAACACAAACACACACATACACACACAATTATTACTGCCACACACAGATGATGTGACAAACCAAAAACGACACATCATAATATGGTAACTGTGTTCTGATAAACATGTAAGAAAATCACATTAATTAAATTAAATGTTCATACAAAACCCTTCTGGCAAAAAAGCTAAGATCTGACTTGGATGCGTTTTTAGCAAGATCTAAAATATTTTTCCTTTTTTCCTACAGACACAAATACTGAGCCTTCCCCTCCTGCACTGTGACGTCCATCATCACCTGCTTTACCTGCACTCTGCACAGCTGAAGGCGGAACAAGGTGTGTGTGTGTGTGTGTGTGTGTGTGTGTGTGTGTGTGTGTGTGTGTGTGTGTGTGTGTGTGTGTGTGTGTGTGTGTGTGTGTGTGTGTGTGTGTGTGTGTGTGTGTGTGTGTGTGTGTGTGTGTGTGTGTGTGTGTGTGTGTGTGTGTGTTCTGTGTGTGTGTGTGTGTGTGTGTGTGTGTGTGTGTGTGTGTGTGTGTGTGTGTGTGTGTGTGTGTGTGTGTGTGTGTGATCGATCATTTGGCAGAGACTTGTATTCGTTAACTTACATTTGGTTATTTGTACTTATTATCCTAATGTAACATTTGCTTTTCTTACAACCAAACATTAGTTTCAGTGCTATGTGATCCACTTTTCTTCAGTTGTCTTGATACATTTGATGTAAGCAATGTGGTTCCAATTTGTATTTATCTATGTCTGTAAGAAGTATGATATGTGGATGTGTCGTCTTTATTCTGCCCTAACTCTAAACCTAACTGGCTTCACCCTCACGCCGAGTGTTTAGTCAAAGGAAAAGAGACTTGATGAAAGTCTAATTGACTTGATGACCTGGATATTTTTCTGCAGCGTAGGGGTGAACAGTCTGCTTTCTGCAGATAAAGCACTTCCTCATTGACAGTTTGTACTGATAGTAAAAAGCAGGTCACCTGTTAAATACTCTCTGCCTTCGAAGGAGAGCTTCACTAACAATCTGCCACAGTAGCCTCAAAATAGGGACACCCACAATGCAATGCTCTGAATAACGGCTTGCTGTAAATTAATGATGGATGTTGTCATGGACTTCTTATCAGCAGTCTTCTGATTTACAGGACTGTTGTTCATTGGCTTCTATTCAAGAAGCACTTTGACCTTCCTCTTTTCTGAATGCTTGGGCTAACGGTAGCTATCTTTAACTTTTTTCATAATATGATCCTGCAGATAACATTTTCTTTTTTTTATCAATATGTTTATTGATTTTCCGCTTACAAAAATCACATACATAGGACGAAGACATAGAGCCAAAAGCAATACATATATACACAGGACAACTACTTTACTTTACATTAAAGAAAAATAACAACACTAAATTAAATTGGTACATACCACAAGGGCACTCTAATACATCGGCAACCATCCAGTTTTCTAGCAATAGGACCGTATTTCTACAGAGGATATCACAGTCATTTACATTTTAACATATTATAGCATTATCGCATTATCCTGCCCCAGGTTCGTTCAGAAATTGAGATAGGTCGTTGTTCTTGGAATACTCTATAAAACGTCCCCAGACCTTCTGGAACAGTTCTTGTTTGTCTTTGAGAATGTAAGTGATTTTTTCTAAAGGCAGACATAAAGAAAGTTCCCTAAACCACTGTGCAATACTAGGTTTGCCCAACTTTTTCCATGTTAAGGCAATCACTCTTTTTGCTTGTAATAAACACATATCTATAACAACTTGTTTATAAAGTTGTATGTTATGTCCATCCGGATATAGGCCAAGTAGGAACATTTTTGGTTCCAGCTTTAAGCTGATCGCTAAAATATTCTGTATTGTTACCCTAACCTCTTCCCAGAATTCCTTTATTCTTGGACATAACCATAGACAATGGAACAGTGTGCCTGTCCTATCTTTAACTTTAGTGTCAACAAAGGTGCTGGCCAAAAGACCTGAAATATATTGAATATATTGAATAGGGGAATCTGCGATTTGCTTACAGAACACTGGGAATAAAGGGTTACATGTTTAGAAAGGGTCACCAATAAGAAACAACTTTATTTATTAATATATTTTTAGGGCAATACGTAACATTGATACTGAAAGAAAGCAGTGATGGGATGCAACTCCGTACCTTTATTCTGCTAAACACAATAACCAAATATTTTCACAATTTGTAATTAATCATGTGGTCAATACAAATGTTCTGATCACATTATCCTATCAGCAGTTGACTTCATATAACTATTTTGTTTGGATACAACAAAACCTCAAATATATAAAACAAAGAAAGTTGGTTTGTCATGATTCTACACAGAAATACAGACAGAAGAAGATAATAGGTTCACATTATTCAGTGCCGTTGCTTGTTTAACAGCTACTTGCTTTAGGTTAGAAGGTCCATCCTTTACCAAGACCTCCAGGTTTCATGAAACCTTGTTGAGGGTCCTGAAGGAGCTCACTGAATCCACTGCAGCTAACGCCACGCTCACATCTGACCTTAAATGCTAAAAGTCTCTGCCAAGATTAAAATAATAGTTTGTTTTTTAATATTCATTGGCAAACAGAGAAATGTAAACATTTCTGGCAAGACACTTCACCCCAAATTGCTCCTGTGGGGATTACCCACAGTATTGAGTATGTAAGTCGCTTTGGATAAAAGCGTCTAACAAGTAACATGTAATAAATAATAATCATTTTAAGTATCTGAATATCAACAAACTCCTCAAACCCTCCACCTCTCTGGTTTTCTCACCACCTCTCATCCCCTGCAGCCAAACCAGTTAATGATGATGCCTGGTGATGTGGGCTGCGAGTCGTGATCCTCCAGCTGCATGCAAATTGTTAGGTGTGTGTGTGTGTGTGTGTTGTGTGTGTGTGTGTGTGTGTGTGGGTTGTGTGGGTGTGTGTGTGTGGGTGTGGTGGTGTGTGTGTTGTGTGTGTGTGTGTGTGTGTGTGTGTGTGTGTGTGTGTGTGTGTGTGTGTGTGTGTGTGTGTGTGTGTGTGTGTGTGTGTGTGATGTGTGTGTGTGTGTGTGTGTGTGTGTGTGTGTGTGTGTGTGTGGTGTGTGTGGTGTGTGTGTGGTGTGTGTGTGTGTGTGTGTGTGTGTGTGTGTGTGTGTGTGTGTGTGTGTGTGTGTGTGTGTGTGTGTGTGTGTGTGGTGTGTGTGTGTGTGTGTGTGTGGTGTGTGTGTGTGTGTGTGTGTGTGGTGTGTGGTGTGTGTGTGTGTGTGTGGTCCTCCTCCTCACCTGGAGCTGTCTCAGTGTCGTGGGACGGCAGCGTGACAGACAGACAGACAGGCAGATGGAAGTGACATCAGTGGGATTCAGCAAAACAATGTAGACGGAGATCCGTGGAGACAATGACAGAGGGGTCGGGAGAGACTGGAGGGAAAGACTGGGGAAGGCAAATTAGTCGGGAGGAAAGCAGGGCGAGGGGAGATCCGTAGTTGAGTTAAGTCTTAGAGGGATGTCTCCTGCAGATAAAACAAACACACTTAGAAGCTCAATATAGACCAGAGTCAGAGGTGTATTTCCTTCCAGCACAATGTTCTGATATAGCAATGTTGTTTTCAGAGTTTCCTGTTGAGTTTGTTCAGGGTTTCAGCTTCTCTGACACACTCCAGGATTGCCTGCAGATAGACGTGCATGCACATTTGTGATACTACCGTTTTTATTTTTGCGTTTTATTTTTGCTTTAAAGTAAGTTGTTCTGCCATAGAAGAAAATGAAAACACTCTTCTCTTATAGCAGCTTTATGTGATGTAAGGGCGCTATAGCTCCATTCGGCTCGTATCGCCAGCACAACATTATATTTGTTTATCAAATCTGTTTTTGTAGAAGGGAAAGTAGGTTGCTTCTACAATCACATCAGGAATAAACAGACAGACACACGCCGCCATCCTGTAACCGCTCCTCATGAAGCTTTTACTCCAATTCACAGCACAGTGAAACATCCGGGCCCCTGATCCTCACTAATGATCTAACCCTAAACCAACATCACCTCTACCACTTCCTTTATACACACTGATGTGTGTAGTCTGAAGAAGAATCGTTTTTTAGTCTTTTCGGTCCACCATAAGTTCGAAAGGCTTCATAACAAAGGTCTCTTTTGTATGCCATATATAAGTTAAAGATTCCTTATGTGTTGCATTTATACTACAAAAGACAACAGGTTGTATGTATTAGGGAAAACAAGATCTGACTTTAACCTTCCAAAATCCTTTGTTAAGCGTATCTTGTCCTCTTAGCCAAGGCCAAGTCCTTTGAATTTCGGCCCAGTAATAAAATATTCAAGGTGTCAAATCCAATCAAGTGTTACTTATATAACACTTTTGCATCGGGTAGCCTTACAATTGAAAAGCATACGACACCAGCTGTCCTTTGTCTGACAATAATAATAATAATAATTTTCCATGCAAAAGCTAAAATGTAAGAAACCTCAGGAAGATCAACCGAGGTGTGTGGCTTGAAAGGAAGGGTCAAGTTACAAGTAGGTCCAAGTCAAATCTCAAGTGTGCAGGTCAGCTTTTTATATCCTTTAGCCGATTAATCAGACACAAGCACTGCGTTGCCAACACTACACATCTTTCAAACCGTCCAACATCGCCTATGGGTATGTTTATGTGTACTCATGTCATTTAATAACCTAGATACTAGTGGCTTTAACTTTATCTTCTACATGAGTCATCGGTGCAGATCTGATGGCACCTCCTGGTCGTTGCCCTCCTTCAGAGATCTTGGTGTCTCGATGCTGGTTGTGTTTCCTGGCAGCGCTGCATTGTGTTGTGTTACCGTGTCGTGCTCGGCTCTGCTCCTGTCTGCCATCTGCCAGTCATATGTACCACCATCTGCTCTTCAAACCAGCCCATAATCTAGCTCGCTCTGGCATCGTTTGCTTAATTTAAATACTTACAGTAACTGCTGCTGTTGTTTGATGTCTGGGGAGTTGTTACTGTTTTCAAAAAACGCATTTTGTCTTGCCACAATGCCAGCGGTTTACGTCTTCCTTATCATTTAATCATTTAGATAATCACAGATTTGTAGAAACCTTTGGTCGTTGCCCGAACAGCTTCTCACTTGCTTGCTGCCATACATTCCTTCGTCACTCCCAAATAATTAGGTTGCTATTTGTTTTGGCAGCAGCAGAGACAGAAACGTACGGTCTCTCATCGTCTCTGATATTGAATATACATTTGTGAGAAGCTCTCCAGGCTGATCTCAGGTCTGCCTGGATGACATACCACCAGCAGCGTCAGTAGGCACCTCCTCCACACACACTCATTCCTCTGGAAGCTGTACTCCT